CGAAATTTACTTAGTCTCAATTTCTTAAGTGTATAACAAAATTCGGAATTTTCAAAATGCTAAGGCTCAGCCAATTTTCAGTTTAAAAAAAAACCAGCTGATAAGTTTTGAAGCTTGAGTCATGAAAAATAAAACTTATCGGTTAAATTTTTTAAAATGATATAAATTTTTTTTGTTTTAGTATTTTGAAGTTGACCAATTGCTACTATAAGCAATTAATGATTATAGATGATCTGCACCGTACTTCTGTTCAGCCTGACTAACCTCATAACCAAAAATGGAAATGCATGACGAATTGCGCATAAAATTTTTATATTAAAAATGAAGAATTGAAATCTTTGAATTTTTTATAGCTCACTTGTGGACCAAAAAAACATACATTGGTTTTACTTTTTACGTTGTATATTCTTTAATAAAATAGACTATTTCGTGGCAAATGATCCATTGATTGAGTAGTCTAATAAATTACTACAAAACATATAAACAAACCTGCCATCCGCTTGTAGACCAAAAAATCACAAAAAAAACGTGCATTGGTTTTGCAAATTTATGTTGTATTCTTTAATAAAATAGACTATTTCGTGGAAAATGATTCATTGATTAAATAGCCTAATAAATTACTACAAAACATATAAATAAACCCGCCATCCACTTGTGGACCAAAAAATGCATCAGATTTGCATTCAAACATGAGGGTTAAGGAATACTCTACATTATTATCCATTTATTGAGAAAAATTTCTATTTGTTTGTTTTTTATTTATTTTAGTGATTAAAGAGTCATTACATGAATAATAATAAATTTAATAAATTTAATAAGAAGGGCTCAAAGTTGCACAAGTTTACTATGTTCACGAGGAAATGGCCACTATGATCTAATTAAAAATTAAAAAAAAATAACGTTAATAATTTTTTAAATAAACAATAAAATATTACTTATCTTTTTTTTAATCTTATATATAATAATTAAACAATTTATACAATTGCATCACCCAAGTAATTAAAAATTACTCAGACCATACATAATATGAAATTTTATTTTTTAGCTATATGTATAATATAAAAAATTATTTTTTAGCTTATAATCTTTGTTGTATATAATACAAATCTAATATTATTATATTTGGTTTCAGATTTGATTGAAAAAATTTTCTTTTTGACCAATATCCAATTTTCAACTCCTTATGAACCATAATATTTCTTACGGGTAGGGAGGGGTTAGATATCAGAAAACTTTATATAATAAGAAATTATAATTTTCTTATTGATAATAATGTAATTTAAACAAGTCTCAGAGCCTAACAGGTCCCCCCCTGAGATCTTATTTACATTATATATCATCAGGACGCCCGGTCAGATTAATCTTTAACACAGAGAAGAAATTATGAATGTGTATTGTGAAATTCTGAAGGGTAATTATGTTACTATGCTTCACATAACCAGATTTAGTGGCACCTTCTGCAATTCTGGACTTTATTAGAATCCACATTAATAAAAAATAAATACGCAAGTTAACTTGCTTGCTTGTATTATTTAGACTTTTTAGATATTATGTGGGATCATTGTTCTACTATACTTCGTAACAACCAGGAATAAGTTCCACCCATTTACATCCTGGACTTTTTCATAAAATCTTCAAAGAATAAATATACAAGTATATAGTATATATTAAGAAAATTGATAAAAAAAAATTTTTTGAAAGAAAATATATATATATATACCAATTAGTGCCTTGCTGGAATTTGAATTAACAATTTGAACCAATTAATTGTTTGTGATTGAAAACTCAATGTTTGTTACTAAATTAGGTTTTAACTTTTACACCAAAAACATCATTATATTTATATATATATATATACAAAGGAATTAAGGCTTATTTTTATTAATAGAATATAGAGTTAATTACTTGTTTAAAACTGGTTCAGTAAGAGTTTCCATCTTTAGTTATGTTTTATTATACTAACTTTAAATGTACATAGAACAAGTAAATTTACAATAAAAAAAAGAATCAATCCACGTTTTTTTTTAATTGTTAATCTTATGATAACGGATATATAAAAGAATCTCAATTTTTTTTAAAAAAAGAAACAAAAAAATATTATCTTGTTAATGTGAGTTGATTTTCATTTTTAAAAAAATTCAGTAACAGAGTTGGTAGAATTGTTACTGACTGCCCATACCTTTCTGGAGCTCCCTGGTCACGTAGAGGATGAATGAGGTGTTCTAGTTCATAGGTTATTGGATAGGTGCGTAGGGTACTTAATGATGTCAGAGTCTGTAATAGAAGTCATCACGTCTGCGGAACAAGTGGAATGAGAAGTTACATCTGGTTGAAATTCATTTTGATGTCTAGGTTGCTTTTCAGACCTATTACATGATTCTGGTTATTAGTGCCCAGTGGAGGGGTTTTTATCATATAACACTAGTCTAGAACACACGGGCGTGCGCCCAATCTCATGGGAGATAATAAACTCAGGGGAGGAGTGGAGTGATCCAACTCATTGAAAATTGATTTGCTTAGCCATTTCCACATTTGGCTAACCCTCCACTTTATTTATTTTTTAGATGTCATTGAGACGAAGACGAAGAAGAAGAAACAGAACAAAGATTACATTAAAGTAATTTAATATTGATAATAATTATTTATTTCAACAATTTCAACATATACTGACTGATTTTTAAATTTTTATCAATTTAGAAAAATTTTTCTTTATTTATCATTTTTAATATATGTTGCTGGATTTTATTTTATTTTTTTATGTATTATTACCGACTCTATCTCTCCTTTCAATAATTCAACTACCAATACCATTAATTCGACATTATTATCATCACCACCATCATTATCGTTTACTTTTAAATCCTTGAAAAAAAAAATGTAAAGCAAAATACAATAAAAAAATTATAAGTAACAAACAATGATTTTGCCGTGACGTGATGTGAAAGAGTACGTGTAACAGGAGAAAAAAATTTGCACACGTTCAAAACATAAATTTACGTGTTTGTGTAGTATATAAAGGACTGTTGTCCCCTAGGTATGGGGAGGCAAGGGGAGGGAACGGAAATTCATAACAGCTTAAAAAACAAAAATATTGATATTTCAATTAGAAACAAAATTTCAAATTTTAAATTTTGTCACGCCGCAGAATATATATATATGGATAAAATTCTGCACTTGACGATCTTCAAAAATCATGTGACTGTAAAATTTTTATTGCATTTTTGATTGGAAATTTTTTCTCAAAATTGGCGGTGTGGCACAGAAAGTTGTGGGACTAAGTGACTTGCACTATACTATTTTTAGTTTGAATTTTCTTTTTTTTTTTTTTGGTATGACCAAGATAAATTTTTTTTATTACAGTCAGGAATTTTGCTAAATCGGGATGTGTAACGAACAATGTTCTAGAAAATTTTTCCCCAATAAAATTTCGTAAAAAAGCCATTTTTCTTTATTGATCTTGTGACTTTTT